GGGCACATGCAGATGATGTAGATCTCGGGCACAATGCAATCTCCGGCATAATGCAATCTCGGGCTCAATGCAATCTCGGGCTCAATGCAATCTCGGGCACATGCAGATGATGTAATTATCGGGCACAAGCAAATGATGCAATTCTCAGGCACATGCAGATCTCGGGCACAATGTAATCTCAGGCTCAATGCAATCTCGGGCACATGCATATGATGCAATTCTCGGGCACATGCAGATCTCGGGCACAATGCAATCTCAGGCTCAATGCAATCTCGGGCTCAATGCAATCTCGGGCACAATGCAATCTCGGGCTCAATGCAATTTCGGGCACAATGCAATCTCGGGCACAATGCAATCTCGGGCACAATGCAATCTCGGGCACATGCATATGATTCAATTCTCGGGCACATGCAATAGTTGATTGGAGGCATAGACCTTCGTCTTATTGAAAGGATTGAGTGTCATTTGTTGACGAATTCGGAATATTGTAGCTTTGACCCTTCGTCCTATTGTAAGGAGTGGGTGCAGTTGATTTATCGGGCTTGATATAAAGTAGCTTTTTTCTTTCGTTTGATTGGAAAGATGTACCAATAATTAGCGATCTGTCGGGCTCAAAATAACTTGGTCTTTCATTCATGTCAGAAGGACAGGGCATGGTTTATTGGCGATTTGTCGAGCTTAATAGCGGTCAGGTGATGCTGAAGTTATCTTTTGTGTCTGTACTTGTTTTCCTGTATTCAAAGAAAGATTGTGAGTTTAAAAATGGGGGCGGTTGATCTGCTCCGACTGGTGTGATCCCTTTGACTTGCCATCCAGACCTTTCCGAGCATTTGCTTTGAAGAGAAATGTAAAATAGAGGGAGATAGAGTTTTCGAAAAAGCTTTTTGAAAATAATAAATTGTAAAAAGTAATATTGAATCTTTGACCATGGCATAGTTTGAGACTTTGCAACATCTGACATCATTATCAAATCTGTTATCTGATCTTTGTTGAAGATTGTAGTTTGATTGTAGTGAATTTTTGAGACCCTCAAAAATTCTGCCCAGTCTTGATTTGTGCAGGAAATGCTTTGTTCAGAGGAATTTTTGAGACCCTCACAAAAATTCTGCCCCAGTTACTGATTTGTGAGAAAAAATGCTTTTGATGGAATTTTTGAGTTCCTTTCAAAAATTCTGCCCCAGTATCGTGATTTGCAAGAATATGTCCTTTTGATGGAATTTTTGAGACCCTCTCAAAAATTCTGCCCCAGTTAACAGTCAAAAGGGGAAAATGAAATTTTTATTATGATAAGACCGAACTCCAAAGGAGCGCCTACGTATCCCCTCTTAAACGGGAATCAGGTCTGACGTAGTTCCAAATACAGAGTAAAAGAGCATGAACAATTTAGATGTAATATCTTTTCACAGCATCTGAGTTGATGGGTTTGGGCCAAACTTCTCCATCCATTTCTGCAAGTATGAGGGCTCCGCCTGTTAATACCCGAGAGACTATGTATGGACCCTGCCAGTTTGGCGAGAATTTACCCTTTGCTTAATCTTGGTTTGGAAAAATCCGCTTCAGAACCAGTTGCCCAGGTGAAAAATGTCTGGGTCTAACCTTTTTGTTGAAAGCTCTGGCCATTCTATTTTAATAGAGTTGACCATGACAAACTGCGTTAATCCTCCTTCCATCTATCAATGCAAGATTTTCCGCCCGAATTTGTATCCATTTAGCATCATCCAACTCCGCTTCTTGAATAATCCTTAGAGATGGTATTTCCACTTCGGCAGGTATCACAGCTTTATTACCATATACCAGAAAATAAGGCGTGGACCCAGTAGAAGTTCTGATGGTTGTACGATATCCCAACAATGCAAAGGGTAACTTTTCATGCCAATATTTGTGATTATCGATCATCTTGCGCAATATCCTTTTGATGTTCTTGTTTGCAGCCTCAACAACTCCATTCATCTGTGGTCTATATGCTGTAGAATTTCGGTGATTGATCTTAAACTTCTCACACAATGATCTCATCAAATCACTATTTAGGTTGGTTCCATTGTCAGTGATGATTCACTCAGGAATCCCGAACCTACAGATAATATTATTTTTGACAAAGTCATCCACAACCTTCTTTGTCACTGATTTGTGAGAGGTGGCTTCGACCCATTTGGTGAAGTAGTCAATTGCAACCATAATGAATCTATGTCCATTGGATGCCGCTGGCTCGATTGGCCCAATGACGTCCATGCCCCAAGCTGCAAAGGGCCACGGTGAACTAGTAACATGGAGTTCGTTGGGAGGAACTCTGATCATATCTGCATGAGTCTGACATTGGTGGCATTTTTGAACATAGCGGATACAGTCTGCCTCCATAGTTAGCCAGAAATATCCCGATCTCAAGATCTTCTTCGCCAGTGTAAAGCCATTCATGTGAGGACCACATGTTCCTGCATGTATCTCTTCAATCAACCTGTTGTCTTCTCCAGCTTCGACACACCTTAGCAACCCCAAATCGGGAGTCCTCCTATAAAGGATTTCTCCACTTAGAAAGAATTGATTCGCTAACCTCCGAATTGTACGCTTTTGTACACTTGTTGCATCCTCTGTATACTCACCACTCTTCAAATATCCTCGAATGTCACTGTACCAAGGCTTTCCATCAGGTTCTTCCTCGACATGAAAACAGTATGCCGGTTGCTCGCAGATTTGGATGTAAATAGGATCAATGTAATTATGATCAGGATGTTGAATCAGGGAAGATAAGGTGGCTAAGGCATCTGCGAATTCATTCTGGATCCTTGGCACATGTTTGAATTCTGCCTTGATGAACCTTTTGCATAACCTATGCACGCACTCCAAGTATGGTAACAATTTTCGATTCTTAGTAGCCCATTCGCCTCGGACCTGATGGATCAATAAGTCTGAATCTCCTATTATTAACATTTCCTGGACATCCAAGTCAATAGCGCGTCGGAGCCCCAATATGCACGCTTCATATTCAGCCATATTGTTTGAGCATAGGAACCTGAGTTTGGCTGATACCGGGTAATGTTGCCCAGTTGGTGAGATCAAAACAGCTTTGATGCCGGATCCGCTCAGGTTCTTAGCTCCATCAAAGAACATCCTCCAACTATCATATTCTTCAGAAATGTCTTCCCCGACAAAAGCTACTTCTTCGTCTGGGAAGTAAGTCTTTAACGGTCTATAATCATCATCTACAGGGTTTTCCGCCATATGATCTGCTAATGCTTGTGCCTTCACTGCCTTCTGTGTAACATACACTATGTCAAACTCGCTCAGTAATATCTGCCATTTAGCCAGTTTACCAGTAGGCATGGGCTTTTGAAAGATATACTTCAGAGGGTCCATCCTTGAAATCAGATAAGTAGTATGCGAGGAGAGATAGTGTCGAAGCTTCTGGGCGACCCAAGTTAAAGCACAACAGGTACGCTCCAATAGAGAATATCGAGCCTCATATGATGTAAACTTCTTACTCATGTAATATATCGCCTGCTCCTTCTTTCCAGTCTCATCATGTTGCCCCAAAATGCAGCTGAAAGCATTATCCAACACTGATATGTATAACAACAACGGTCTACCAGATTCCGGTGGAACCAACATAGGTGGATTGGATAAGTAATCTTTGATTTTGTCAAACGCTTGGTGACATTCGTCTGTCCATTTCACCGCAGCATCCTTCTTCAACAACTTGAAGATAGGCTCACAAATGACAGTAGATTGAGCTATGAAATGACTGATGTAATTTAGTCGACCCAGGAAACTCATTACCTCTTTCTTACTCTTCGGCGGAGGTAGATCACGAATGGCTTTGATTTTCGATAGATCCAGTTCTATACCTCGGCGGCTGACAATGAAACCCAAGAGCTTTCCAGCAGGAACCCCAAAGACACATTTTGCAGGATTTAACTTCAGGTTATACTTGCGTAGCCTAGCAAAGAACTTTTGCAGATCATCTAGATGATTTGATCCCCTCTTTGATTTGATGATGACATCATCCACATAAACTTCAATTTCCTTGTGGATCATGTCGTGAAACAAAGTGGTCATTGCCCTCATGTATGTAGCACCATCATTCTTTAACCTGAAAGGCATTACCTTGTAATTGTAGACACCCCACGGTGTGATGAAAGCAGTCTTCTCAGCGTCGTCCTTGTGTATCTCAATTTGATGATAGCCAGCAAAGCAATCCATGAATGATTGTGTTTCATGCTTAGCACAGTTATCGATCAAGATGTGTATGTTCGGCAATGGAAAATTATCTTTGGGGCTAGCTTTGTTGAGATCTCGATAATCCACACAGACTCTAACTTTTCCATCTTTCTTTGGCACTGGAACGACATTTGCAAGCCATGTCGGGTACTCCGTCACTTGAAGGATTCCAGCATCTAATTGCTTCGATATTTCTTCCTTGATTTTCAGACTCAACTCAGGCTTGTATTTTCTCAACTTCTGCTTCACAGGAGGACATACTGGATCAGTAGGCAATCGATGAGCTACGATTGAAGTGCTTAACCCTGTCATGTTTGCATAGGACCAGGCGAAGATATCCTTATTCTCCATAAGACATTCTGTATACTCTTTCTTGTCCTTTTCTTTCATATGGATGCTTACTCGGGTCTCTTGTACCACTTCTGAATTTCCCAAATTTACCACCTCTGTTTCCACTAGATTCGGGTTGGGTTTTTCCTCGAATTCCTCAACCTTTCTGATTAACTCTTCAGGGACCTTACTTTCTTCGACTTCCTCTAAGTCATTAATGTTAAGCTGTGCAGTCTCATTATATGCCATAGTCTCAGATTCAAAATTTTTATAACAGACTTTGCTGGAAAAGAATAACGCACAAATGAATATAAGATATTAAATAGATGGGAAAATAACTTTATTGATTAAAACTCAAGAGCTTTATAAAACTAGCATTTGAAAACAATAACATAGAACTGGAATTTAAAATTGTTTATTGAAAACTTTTAAAATTTGATAGAAAAGTTCTTCCACAGCTACCCAGATGCCCGACGAGGTCTGGATGGAGTTAAGGTCCAAATGCTGATGCTGATCCCTGCTTCATTGCTTCCTCTAGGGTCCCCTTTCTCCTCCTCGTTGATCACGACATTACAACCTTTTCCTTCCTCCTTGGTCAGAGATAAACCCTTCATGTCTTCCAAAAGATCACCAATGATACATCCCATGAAACCTGTTGATCGGAATGATTGGTGCAGCGGTGGTATCGGTTTCTTCAATGGATAGTAGTACCCATCTCTAGGTGGTTGCCAATCAAGCCACTCCTCAGTAGTATATTTATATCCCAGGCCAAAAGTGGTTGAATGACGAATAGGTTGTATAGGTTCAACTATTCCTTGCAAATTAGCTCCCAAACCTTTCCCGAGCTCAAAACCAAACCAGGCCATCATATCTATGATCTTCTGACTGAACCATGGTTGCACTTCAATGTTGCCAACAAGCTCAACTGTATGGTACATCTCACCGTCTAGATGACCCCCTCCTTCTATCGCATATACAGGATGTCCCTTTTTCCCATGAACTACAACCTCTTCATGATCCCATTCAAACTTCAAGCATTGATGAAGAGTAGAGGGAACTACTCCAGCCATATGAATCCAAGGACGACCCAATAAGAGGTTATATGAAGATGGAATATCCAAGACCTGGAAAGCTATTGGGAAAGTAGCAGGACCATTGAGCATGTCCAAGGTTATTTCTCCAATAGTACCCCTCTGAAAACCATCAAAAGCTCTCACATTCATCTTCCAAGTTTGGATCTTTGCACTATCCACGCCTAGCCTTGTCAACGTGCTCAGAGGGCAGATATTCAAACCCGAACCTGAATCAACCAAGGCTTTGGTGATTATCTTGTGCTGATATTGAATTGAAATGTACAAAGCCTTATTATGGGTTGTTCCTTCAATTGGCAACTCATCTTCATAGAAAGATATTCGATATGCCTCAAAAACCTGCCCGACCATTTGGGCTACCTCTCTTTGAGTGATGCTAGATGGGACATAGGCTTCACCCAGGACCTTCAATAGAGCATTCCGATGAGTTTCGAAAGATTGCAGCAATGATATGATGGATATTTGAGACTGGGTTTTACTCAATTGCTCAACAATAGAGTACTCTTTTGCTTGTATCTTCTTCCAAATTCCTTGATTTTCAAGTTCTACAACTGGTGCCTTGGCTTTGCTAGAGCTTCCCTGCACCAAATTTTCAGAAGTGTAAATTCTTCTCGATCTAGTAACTCCTGCTGCGGTGTCTGCTTCTTCCACTTTTGTTTTTCCTTTTTTGTAGTCCCATGGAACAGCATGGGTATCATACTGGACAGGGGAAGACGCCCTATAAACAGTGAATGGAGTCTTGGGCATGGCGATCTCAACCTCAAACAGAGCACGCCTTTGCACTACCATAGGAGTCTGAGCGGTAGCAATCATTGCTTCTTCTGGCTCAAGGACCCAAATGGATTTCTCCCAATCTGAGGTATCATCGGCTTCTATCATGTTGACCTGATGGTTAGGCAGAGGGTTATTTGCAACATTTGGTGCTGGATCTTTGAGTTGGATGGCCTTAGTATCAATCAACATTTGAATCTTATCTTTCAGGGCTCTGCATATTTCAGTAGTATGACCTTTCATCCCAGAATGGTAGGCACAAACCTTGTTAGGGTCATACCATTTTGTGCGGACATCCACAGGCAATGCAGGAACTGGGGTGACATAGCCATCCTCTTTTAGTCTCTCATAAAGCTGGGCAATAGGTTCGGCCAGAGGGGTATAGTTCTTCGCAGGCCTTCTTTCATATGGTGGTCTGTTTCGGTAGTTTGATGTTTGAGTAGGTGGTGGGGTTTGGAAGTATGATGGCTGGGCATTATAGACAGGATATGAAGCTTGTTGGTATTGAGGAGGAGCATTTTGGTAATATACTGGCATGGGGTTGGGAGATATAGGTGGTGGAGCTGAAGGGTATGGAGTTTGGGGATATGGAGATGGAGGTGGGGTTGTTGATTGGTACTTATAAGGGGTTCTGGTCCCCTGATCCATCATGACTGAGCCTGTTTTCTTTCGATTTTCTGCCATTCCTCCGGATTGCAGAGCTTTGTTGGTGGCTTGCAGGGCTTCCAGATTGATGACAGTCCCATTTTTTATGCCCTCTTCGATCCTTTCACCTAGCTTGATAATTTCAGCAAAACTTTTCTCAGCTACAAGCATCATCCTATCATAATATTGTGGTTCTTGAGCACGGATGAAGTAGTCTTTCATCTGAGATTCTTCCATGGAAGGTCTGGCCCTAGCCGCCTCAGACCTCCATCTTATCGCATAATCCCTGAAAGATTCACTGGGCTTTTTCTTCAGGTTTTGGTGCATTTTCTACATTAAATCCAAACCTGTTCATGAAGTCTGTTGCCATGTCTACCCACTCATCCCATTTTCGAGGGTCTTGTTCAGTATACCAGGACAGTGCCTCTCCGGTGAGACTCCTTATAAACAACTTCATGAGTATCCTCTCATCTCTCCCCACCCCTACAAGCTTGTCACAGTACATTCGCAAGTGGCCTTTGGGATCTCCAATGCCATTAAACAATTCAAACTTTGGAAGCTTATATCCTTCAGGTAGTTCTACATCGGGGTGTATACATAAATCCTCATAGATCAGTCCTCCCAACCTCTTGCTTCCTTCCACATGTTGAACCCTGCTGGCCAAGTTATCTAATCTCTCGGTCAGGGTTTTTATCAGAATGTCCTTTTGGGAGGACTCTGATTCATGGTAGTTATGGGTCAAGGGAGCAGTTTCCACATAGATGGGGTTGAGGTTGTTATTTCCGAGAGTATATGAAGGGTTTGCATTTGGAACTGGTTCTGGGATAGTTGGCTTAGTTTGTTGGTGGTAGTGGTAAAATAGGATTTGGGTATTTTGGGCATGAAGTGGTGGGAAGATATTTGGATGAGCGGGTTCAGGTCGGGGTACATTGGTTGGGGGATTGTTTGGCGTAGTTGTTTGGTTAGAATGAGGAGGATTGTCTATATTTTCGCCAAATTGGGTTCCAAGAGAAATAGATAACTTGGCCAAATCGCGCATATGCGCTACTTCTTCTTCTAAATCTGCAATCTTGCTCTCAAGCTTAAGGACAAGGTCACTTGGAAGTTGCCCTCCCTCAGAAGTTTCTACTCTTTCGTTGCTGCTGTTGTTGTCAACCATTTTACCCTTGTCTGTTCTTTGAGGAGGAGGAGAAGGGGGGGTCCCTTTTGATCGTGTATGTGCCAGAATGAAGAGCAGATCAACCTTAGGAATGGGAAAAACAATGGAATCAACAGAAAACAGTGTTAGGGGATTAGAGCAAATAATAATAATAATAGCACATTGTTTGAAATAAACGCCCTAGATGCAAGGGACCTCGTTGAGCCAGAGGTAGGCCTAAGACGCCATATAAGTGATGCATAATGATTAATTTAAGCCTTCAACCAAATTCAAACATCTCAAGTTTTAATTCCGGATTCAAGACTCAATCTCAAGCATCAATTCTCCATTCCAATCCTCATCAAGGATTCTCCAAAGTTGAGGTATGTGGGTTGATTGTGGAAACCTTCCTTTCCACAAGTCCAACCATTTATCCTCTATTTTACTTCAAGTTTATGGGTCCTTATGATCATTTATGAACTCTTGAATTATGGAATTACTACTACACATTCTATTATGGTCTATTTTTGCATATTATCATGAAATGGAATTATTATGTGATGTTTATGGTTTTCATGCTTCCATGATCAAATTATGAAGGTTGATATATATATGTATGTTGTTGGTGGGCTGATTTATATGTATTTCGAAATTGGTTGGACTTAGTACTCTTGAAAGACATAATTTTATCTACATGAACAATAACCCACCATGTGTTTGATAAAATGCCATTGATAGAATTCTTAGCAAATGGAATGTCCAATGTACATCCTATGAGTCGGATGATTATATAATTATTGAAATGATGATGAAAGGGATACATGTATATGATTTTCTCTATATAAGTGTTGTGAGTCGACCAAGCCTAGTACGGGGGGTAGTAGGCCCGTATAACCGTATCAAGGGGTTGGTACCTTGGTTGCCTAGTACGGGGGGTAGTAGGCCCATATAACCATATCGAGGGGTTTGTACCTTGGTCCCTAGCTCGGGGGGTGGTAGGCCCGGGTAACCACATTGAGGGGTTTGTACCTCTTTCGCCTCTCCAAGGGGGTGGTAGGCCTTGGAAATACTATATTGATGGTCACTCACCACACATGTACTACGTCCCACT